AGGTGAGTAACCACATATGCGGTAATTTGCAGAACATAAGTTACCCAGTGTGGCTATGGCACTAGCTCTCCCCTCCCGGGCCCACAGCACACCAGGGGTTTACAGGCACTAAGCGAGATGCTCAACTTCTAAAATCACCTGTCTAAGAAAACTGGAGAGACTTATATTTCCTTAAAGGTTTGCCATCTGCTGGAAAGTACTAAAGAAATATCAAGAGCCTACTCCAGCATGCTATCTCCTCGGGGCAGGGGTGCTTGTGTTATCTGAGTTTATGCTTGCAGTGCAGTGAACTACTTTAGAAAGGCTCTTCCAGCCAGTGTCTTTGCAATGCCCACCAAATGACATTTTCCTGATGGGTCTGGGTAGGAAGTGGTGGAGGAGGTTGTTGATAAGTTATCCAATTCCGCAATGAGGGGTTAAGTGGGTTCACCTGAAATGCTATGGAAGGGGCTGGTCCATTTGCCATCATCTGGGTTTAAAGTAAGCCATTAAAGTCGGAGTATGGATCTCACTACCATGAAGAAATGAGAGCCAGCAGTGGAGTGTGTCCTTTGGACCCCGAGATGCCCCGCACACTGAACCTCCTCAGTGCAGCATCAGAAAGCAGTGATGCTGGGGAAGTAGCAGGAGTGGCAGCAGCTTGGCAGAACCACACGCCAGAACCTGAGACAGAACAAGGAAAGCTGAGTGCCTTCAGGCAGGAAGCTCCCTTGCAGAGTGGGGTGCCTCCAGACACTTAATTGGGGAGTTTTATTTCAGACCCAATGCGCTGGAGCTTGAGTGTCCTGTGGGCATTTATCAGCATCCCTAAAAGAGCTTCATAACACGGCCCAAGTGCAGAGGCCGAGCAAGCAGCTGTGTGTCTGAGAAGCCGAGAACCAGAGAGGGCACAGCTGGAAAGGGGCTGACCTACCCAAAAAAAAATGTATCCAGAGCATTGCTGAGCCTGAGTGTTAACATGTTAACTTTAATAAACCTCAAATTGCGAGTATGGTCTGTGAGTTGTCTTAGGCCAGGGCAAAGATTTTTCTAACCCAGTTCAGACATCTTGCCGTAGGAGGGAGGGTTGGTGCAGGAGCTGGTAAAGAAGGTCAGACGGTAGAGGTGTGTCTGACTCTGCCCCCCAGGAATCAGCCTGGGGCTGAGGAGCTTGAATCTTTTGAGTCAGGGGAGGTCAGAAGTCACCTCCATTCCCATGCCCCCTTTACAATACCGCAAGGGTGGACAGTCCCTTTCCTCAGGACTGGAAAGGCGCCCTGGCCCAGAGCTCCAGGGGCAAGAGGGACGGAGCACATGCAGGAAGGAGAACACTAGGAAGAGGGCTCTACTTGGAGAGCACGGAGCTGGGTCAGACTCCAGTGACCACGGTCCCCTGGGTGCTACGCTTCTCCAGGCTGCATCTTACCAGGGACAATCTCTCTCAAGGCTCTCAGGTTCCCTGGCCACAGGGAATGCATGACCCACCTGGCACTGCCCCCATGCCACACCAGGGAGCACGGCAACCGGACCAAGCCCCTGACCTCAGTCACGCGGGTCCTGAGTACCCTGGTAAAGGGGCCGTGAGTGAGACCGCACTGGACAGTCACTTCACAGTCCACTTTATCGACGTGCCATCATTTGCTCATTTTCTGGTCTGGGCCGTTTTCAAATTTCAGGATTATAAATGACGTTTTGGTGACCCTAGGTATGAATCTGAGTGGCTCTCTGCCGGTTTCTCCGTGGGAATTCCTACCCGAGGACTTGCCAGATCAAAAGGCAGGAGCCCTTTCCCGCCCACGCCAGGAGGAACCGCAGACTTTTCTGGGGACCAATGAAAACGGGTACGCTCCTGCCCCAGGGGGGAGGAGATTGACCCTGTCACTGCCCCAGGCTCTGTTCTTTCTGAAGGACTGTTCACGGAACCTGAGCGGCTGCCCTGACTTCCCCTTACCTACCGGACTCTATGACAGCTTCGGTGCTGTTGGAAGGCACTTTCTTCCAGTCCATCAGGCAGGGTCCCGGCCGGGATGAATTGCACCACTTAATCACGTAGTCACAGGTCATGTTGGGGTCATGATTCC